GGAACAACAGGATAGGAAAAAGGGCTTGCACTTTCCCTGCCTGTATAAAAGCAGGTAGAAATGAAAACGGTGCTGATTCGATTCGATCTAAGAAATAAGATGGTAATCAATAACAATGACACAGACACACAGGCCAACGTTTCGGTATTATTGTGGGACCATTGTCAATATCACACTGCTGTTGCGATTCCGGAATGTCACTTCTACATCTGTCCTTGTAGTTCAAAAATCTTACAAACTATAAAACTATCACAGAAATCAACCGCCTCTCGGTTAGCTCAATGGATAGAGCGCTGGAATTTTGTGCGGGAGGGTTCGAGCCCCGGCTCAACCAACACTCAAGGTCTTAAAATAATTGAGAAGAATTTGCTACCTTTCTATAACATCAAGAAATGGTTAGATATTCTAGTCTTCTCGGATAGGGACGAATAAATGGAGGTCCCGTCTCCTGCAGGGTTGGAGTAGGAGACATTAACTTTCCCCGCATGAGATTACTGTGTGATGGATGTCTTCCCCTGGGGTGAGATGGGTGGGAAGGTGAAATCGATATGGACTGAAGCGGCCGCCAGAGACGCCTGAGAAAATGCCAATGTCTGTTCTCAACCTTAACAACATCTCACTGTAACAAACCTGCAACTCAGCTCTCTGCAAAAGGTTTGAATAAACGTCATATATTATGATGAGAGCTTATATATATTATGATTAGTTCAATTTTACCAATTATGAGCTGGTTATATTCTGATCTCGCTTACAAAGTGGATCAATAACAGAAGAAAATAATGATTAGCTACCAATTATGTGATCGCCGCTAAAAAACATCCCCAACCTTTTCAACTCTGATATTTGGTTGCAACTGCCTGTAGCTGTATCAAAACGTAACTACAAACAGCTGAGGTTGATCCAAAAGTCCACTTTCACTTCCACGTAAAGAGGTTCACATGCGATGCACAGTGAAACAAGTACATACAAAGATGGAAAAGTGTTAAATTTTCCACACTCACACGTGTAACACATTGTCTTTCACTTTCAGATGTTTCTTAGCTCCGCCACGTTTTGGTTCTGGATCGACGGAAAGGGAATTGCACGCAATTTGCGCCTCAGACTCAGTCGAAAAAGGCACAGAAAGTTCCCTGGAATAACAGAGAAGGTAATTATTTAAAAAAAATGCAAAACAGTCAAACAAAACAGCAGTTCGTGTTCAAAAATTGAAATAGAGAAATGTGACAAACCCACAACTTCAATTCCGCCATCTTGAGAATTGTCCAAGCGAAGCAATGATCGGGGGCTCAACCGAAATGCGAAGGGCTTGGTAATCGCCTCGTGCATCCATCCTGCCTGGTCACGCGCACTTTCCCCTTCAAAATGCATCATTGATGATGGTGAATTTAGACGTATTTTCCTATTTAGTTAGCACCCAAAGTTGATAATGTGAGGATAAGTAGCTAATGATAACTCTTCATGTCATTTTTTATTGAGTTTTTTTGGTAATTGAGGGAGATGTGTGTTCCAGAAGCCACATTATTTTTATCTCCATTGTTGTGAACCCAACCTTTGCAAAGTTGTTTGCAAGTGAGTTAAAAAAATTTGACTGCGGATGTCGCCTTTTAAAATCTTAAATAGTAATCTGGTCGCTCACTTGTATTGTTAGAAAATATTACTCCCTCCTCTATTTTTCGAATGGAGCTTTTTTTTTTTCTCAGCAAAGAAATATTCTGTTTTGAAAAGTATGACTCAATAATATTATTTTCATGAATTATAAACTTTAAGCTTCAGGCTGGCTTAGTGACAGTCTCAAATTAGCACATTAGCAACACTGGACAACATATTGTATCAATACCAATGATATTATGATTATAACAACATTCAAAGGTAATAGATTATGATGAGAGAGCTTTATATAGATGTTTAGTATTTGAATATGAACCACACAAGATTTCAATTTCATGTAGGGGAACCCTTGTTTACAATATTTGCCTCATTAGCATAAGCAATTCAGTTTCTGATGGAGCTAAAAATAAATCAGTTCTGAATATCGAAAGGTCAAAGTACGATTAACTCGGCCAATGAATACGAGCCTGATGCATTGAATACTTTGTGTGCAACACGGGTTTAAAAACTCAAAATTTTACATAGAATGTATGAGCTCATTAGCGCTTTTGCCACCCAGAAATTTTGCGGTTTTTGATGGATTATTTCTCCTTAAATATTACACCCAAAGAGCTAAAAGTTTCACCATGTACTAAGGTTTTCTAGCTCTTTAGCTGCCGGAAGTCAATTTGTATCTAACATACCTTACAAGGTAGATCTCAGGTTACGCGCATAGGTACGGTCAGTTCTAGTTCCCAAGCTTTGTGCGGCGGGATACCACAGGGTACCCGTTTAGGGCCTATTTTTTTTGCTTGCATGGTTAATGACCTGATGGCTTCCTGGGGCTTGCGTATCAAGTTTGTTGATGACTTAACTATCATGGAAATTCTTCCAAGAAATTCTCCTTCTGTGCTTAACTTCCTTGTGAATGACATCCAAAATTTTGCTAACACCAATAACATGCGCCTTAATCCTACTAAATGTAAGTGCATGACTGTTGACTTCCTTCAGTATAATAGTTACAAGGCTCCCCCGGTCGTATCGGGGGGCGCTGTTCTAGAAGAGGTCTCGTCGTTCAAGCTCTTAGGCGTCAACTTGTCCAATGACCTTTCCTGGGGGACGCATGTTGACCACCTGCTGAAGAAGGCTAACAGACGGTTGTTTGCTTTAAGGCAGCTCAGGAGAAGTTCTGTCCCAGCGGAAGATATCGTCTACATCTATTGCTGCCTAATACGTTCCATACTTGAGTACGCCTCTACTGCATTTGCCAATTTACCGTCCTACTTATCTAAGACCTTAGAGTCAGTGCAGAGGGGTGCTCTTGCCATTATTTGGCCACGTCATTCGTACTCAGATACCCTAATGCTAGCCGGTATTGAAACCCTTGATGCACGCCGTAGTGCTTCCTGTGAATCCTTTATAAGTCGTATTCATAATGACAACCCCCTTTATACTGCAATGTATGCCGACGTTCGTAAATCTTCAGACCGCTACAATTTAAGATCAAATCGTACTCACTATCACTCAAAAAAGTCCACCGATCGTTTTAAGAACTTTGTGACAGTCAAATACTAGCCAGTTTAATCATACTGGTTTTTTTTTATAATAAGCATTATTATCATTTTAGTATTATCATTTTTATGTACATGCTGTTTTTACTTGTATGTAGTTTAATGCATTTTGTATAGTTTTCCCCCTTTTTTCTCCTATAATTCTTGTTAATATTATAACCTGTAATTCAGCATTCTCTGCAAGAGGTTTGAATAAACGATATTATTATTATGCCTCCTTCTTTATGCAAAGCCGTATGCAAATGAGCAAAAATGTAAACAATAACGTCAGCATGAATCCGCCTATAGTCAAATCATTGATGATAATGATACTAATAGTGATAATCCTGATGGGATACCTTATATACAAACACAAATACATTTACACATGCTTAATTGAGTTTCACAAAGTAAGCTTCTCAAAGGCAATGATTTACAATGATTTACCATCGCTTTTTAGTCACAATTAATGATATTATTCAATCTAATTTAAGTAGTTAATTAGGCTTCATTAAAAATCCCTTAAATCCTTTAGACGTTTATCTCTTGGACTTGTTTTTAAAAGGATACAGAATAAATGCATTTTGTTGTAAATAGCTATAAGAATGATAAATTCAGGGATAAAAACGAATCCTTACTCTTGATAAGAGTCATACAATCTGTTTGGAATTCAGGCTAAGGTTTAAAAATAATCAACAGGAAGTAATAAGCTGGATCAGTGGTAAGGAAGTTATTTCCAAGCATAAGTAAAATTGCTCACCTGCTATGAATTAATTTTGGTCGTAGCTGTGGTAGTTACATCACCAGCAACATCAAATGTGAGGTTATAGTCTATTTTCAGTTGATTACGTTTAGAATCTGTTATGGCATATCTCCATTATTTTTTGTTGGTAGGTGCTTTTTACCTAGATATGATTTTTTTCTTTTGTCCTGTATGAAGTATTAACTCGAGTATCATTGAAATTTTGACAAACGTTCTTTTTTCTACGTATGATGCACGATCCTCGCATACGTATGCGATCCTCGCATACGTATCTAATACCGCAGTTCAAAATATATGAACTTCATATATTAATTGTTCTTTTTTCTCATATTTTATTTTCGACACGATTGAACCGAAATAATTCACACTGGAGGGTATTTTAATTACCAGCTATTTCAAATTGTAGTTTGTTCTTTTTTCTGATATTTCTTTTCAATTTGTGATAAAATACATAAAAAGGATTGTAAAATATCTCTAAAACCATGTGTGTATCAGCTGCTTCGTGGTTCATGAAGTCTGATTCGAGTTGTAGTCCGCGAAAGGTAGACATACCTACCTATTTATAACAAGTTAGGACATGAAAAACTTCCATTATAGATCATTTTGATAAGTAGTTTTTTAGAAAAGCTTTTCCTTTAAACGCTAGACGTAAAATAGAAGTGATAAAATTGCAAAGGAGACAATACGAATAAATTAATATGAGAGTTGACGAAAGTAAAACTATAAATTATACGAAGATACCGTAAATTATTATAAAAATAGCTTTGCGCGGATTGAGTCTGACTGTTTGTTCAAGCTTGGCTTAATTTCTTAGATCATTACACTGTAAAACTTTCGTTTCTTGTTTAGAAAATGAAAGTTACCGTCGATAACAAAGAACATTAGGCTTTACACTCGTCCAAACTATGACGTCATGACGAACTGGTTTGTTTACGTCCTGTGGTTTCCAGGACGCCACGGGAAAGCGCGCTGATTGGTTAAAAATCACCTGGCAACGACGCAACGAAACAACATCAAATGCGGCTGACAAAAGAGATCTAGAGAAAGCAATTTATGAGGCTTGATTACTTCGTAGGTTCAAAACGAACAGAATACTGGCTTCGATCGCAACATTTATAACATATGATGATCACAACTAGTCAAAGAAAGCCATTAGCGGTTTCAAAGAGAGGAACAGGAGGAGATGGGATTTATATGGACCGAAACGGTAATACAGATGTATTACCTCCATTGAAACCGTCAACGAAGGGTAATGTGAAGGCTCACGAATCGAACGTTTCTGGAGCTTTACCGCTTGTTGGAGGAGTACAAGTACAACAACTATTTGAAGAAGAAACTAACCAACAAAACAAGGGCAAGATCGCCAACGAAATACAGGGTCTTCCATCTGTCCATCGGCCAGTATCTTATTCTGGAAATGCATCCCCTGCGTCAGGAAGGAGATCTAGCTTGAACGGATCGGGAACGCTGAAATCTAGAGGATTACCCATGACGCCGGAGCAGGCAATGAAACAGTTCATGCACAAGCTAACCAGCTACGAACATCATGAGATCTTTAACTATCCTCAAATTTGGTTTGTTGGCCCAAATGCAAAGAAACGTCAGGGTGTGGTTGGTGGTGCGAATAACGGAGGCTATGACGATGATCAGGGTTCTTACATTCAAGTTCCACACGATCATATTGCTTACCGCTACGAAGTTGTTAAGATTATCGGTAAGGGAAGCTTCGGGCAGGTTGTGAAAGCTTACGATCACAAGACTCAAACAAATGTGGCTTTGAAAATGGTCCGTAACGAGAAGCGATTTCACCGACAAGCTCAGGAAGAAATCAGGATTCTCGAACATCTGAAAAAGCAAGACAAAGACAATGGCCACAATATTATTCACATGCTAGAACATTTCAAATTTCGCGAACACGTTTGCATGACTTTCGAGTTGTTGAGCATGAACCTGTACGAACTCATAAAGAAAAACAAATTTCAGGGGTTTAGTCTACAACTGGTGCGGAAGTTCGCACACTCGATTCTACAATGTAGCGACGCATTACACAGAAATCGTATAATTCATTGTGATTTGAAACCGGAGAACATTCTTCTCAAGCAGCAAGGAAGGAGTGGGATTAAAGTGATTGATTTTGGCTCTAGTTGCTACGAACATCAACGTATTTACACGTACATTCAAAGCCGATTTTACCGTGCGCCTGAAGTGATTCTTGGCGCCAAATACGGCATGCCCATAGACATGTGGAGCTTTGGATGTATTTTAGCTGAACTTTTGACTGGATATCCTTTGTTTCCCGGTGAAGATGAAGGAGACCAGCTCGCTTGCATTATTGAACTACTTGGCATGCCTCCTCAGAAACTATTAGATAGCTCTAAGCGGGACAAGACGTTCATTAATTCCAAAGGATATCCGAGGTATTGTACAGCAACAACCTTGCCAGATGGAAGCACAGTTTTGACTGGTGGTCGTTCTCGACACGGTAAGACGCGAGGCCCTCCTAGCTCGAAAAAGTGGCAAACGGCTTTGAAAGGCTGTGAAGATTCACAGTTCATCGATTTTCTAAGGCGATGTTTAGAATGGGACCCTTCTCAGCGTATGACTCCATCACAAGCCCTTCGTCACCCATGGCTTCGAAGGCGCTTGCCTCGAGCACCCGAATCGAATGCGACCGTGGAGAAATCATACCAACAGCGTAATTCAGGCTCGGGAGTCGCCAAGCTTCCGCCAGCTGCCCCAACATCAGGGAAAACCAAGCCACGAAGACAAATCGAAGAGATTTTGGACGATGGTCGTGGGGTAACAGACTCCGCTAAACTTAACACCAGAACTGTGTTGCCAAAAATAGTGGGAAGATAATTTTACCCAACTTGCAAGAAGTACACGATTTTCTAATCCGTTGATACAAAACGAACAATTTAAGCGCCTTGCTTTTATTATCAAGGTGACAAATGAGTTAATTTTGAAAGAAATATTTATTTTTTGCTCCTCTTTGTTCTATTTTTTTAGGAATTTTTTAGTTTTAGGTTAATTACACCTAGAGAGGTAATTGAACGATCAACTTGTACCTTTCAATTGTAAATCTTTTTCCTCATACATGTACGCATAGTAGTACGGTTGCGTAACATAGCTTATGATGATTTTAGCTTTAAGCGAATTTTATTCACTGCTTTTGTCATGGAAATAATTCTATAACCTAACAAGTTATAACTTATAAAGAACTGCATGGCAAAACACCCTGTGTATACGAGTGAAGTTAGGTGTTATTGTTATTATTGGACTTGTATATAAAAGTTTAGCCAATTCTTATTCATCTTCACGAAATTAACAAGAATGTTGTTTATCTGTGACATAGACATTAGTCATAGGGAGGAAAAGAATAAATATTTTCACTTTTCCAAAAAATCTGTTTGATAAATTGCTGTTGGAGTGGGACGTTTTTACTGTCATATATGGCGAAATGTGTCATTTCTAAAGATAGCTGGGTCAACAGCTAAGAACTTGCTTTGTTATTCATATCCCAGCTGGAAGCGTTCAACGGTGGGATTCGTGCATTTGGTGTGAAACTTGATGGGCCTGTTCAAAAGCGACAGCGTCATAACTGGTAGAACTCCCAGCGAAAAAAAAAACTAAAACTAAGTTAGAAAGTAACATCCTCGAACCTCGTTGGATTCCCTGTTTTCTAAACCCTGAATTTCATCCTTGAAGATCTCTGAGAGTTCTTTATGTAAAAGCTTGACTTCTTTCAATTAGAGCACAAAATTACTTCAAAATAAATTGGCTGTCAGCCTCAAACGCGTTGAATTATCCCGAGAATTCAAGACAGGTTAACGAACAGATTTGCATAAAGAATTTATATGAAGCGAAATTACACCTTCAAAGTCACAACACAGCGGGTGTAGCAATTTTCTTTACAAAACACCAGGTGAACCCCAGTTTGAGCGAGTTCTAATAATCCATTTTCTATTGCTACTAGGCTTATAAATGTAATGAACGATGGCAGAAAGTAAACATTAACTTAATTTCACTCGTCTGTCCAAACCCTGTCACACTGACATTACAATAAATATTTAACAGCTTCAACGGATGCATATTTAAATTTTGATAGCGTGACTTTGGCATCTGCACGGAAGACACACAAGGGTCGTTTCAAGAGGGAAACATCCTGTGACAAACCTCCTTGGTCTTCATTAGATGAACTCTTTAGATGGTTTAAATTGATAATAAGTTCAATGATGCACAATATGAAGGTATAAAAAACGACATTTGTGCCAAGAAAAATTGTACAAATGATGCCTAATTTTTCTCTCTCGCAAGCCAGGCACTCAGGTAATGTCAGAAAAAATCAGACTTGCATTAATTGACATTGCCTGGTTTTCTTGGGGCCAGAGGGATTCAAACCCTAAGTGGAGATCATGCGAATAAAGGAAAATTGTCAACCTGGGACATTTTGATTGTTAACCCTTCAACTCCCATGAATGACCAACACAGAATTTCTCCTCACATTATCAATACAATATCAAGCAGACAAATGATGAGAATCAAGAAAAATGTCAGTTAGGGATTAGTCAATCAAATGCCAAATTTTCCAAACTTGCATCATAAGAACTGTATGACAGACAGTAAGGAGAATTACCACTGAGATCTCCTTGTCAGCATCAAAGGAAACATAAAGCGAAGACGTATATGAGAACGATCCTTCGCATATGTTTCATATGTATATGTTTCATATGTTTGTTGTTGTTTGATAAAGCGAAGAGTATGGATATTGATGTTGGGTCTACAGGATTTAGTGATCAGATATGATGTTGTGTACTGAATGCTCACAATCTCCTCGTTTGCATCAAATTGCTTGCCTACCTCTTGCCAACATTATTATCGCTAGCAAATAAAACAGTATCCATGTCATTAGTTATTATTTTAAAGTTTATCATACAGAGAAACCCATATGAAGCAGACCCCTTTTAACAGCAGACACTCTGTTATTGCCTTCAATTAATTAATCGGAGTTGTAAAACAAACCAGTTACTGTGTCCAATGAACAACTCTGTGAGGTAGACATGGACACTGACATTAAGCCCTTCTGTAATTGAAAACCCATGTTACACACATGCACACAATAATTGAAACTGTGATCAGTTCAAACTTTCAAATTTTGTGCAACCTAGGCAAAAGACCTATAAAAAAGTAGTATATTAATCCAGCAATTTCATAACACAAAATGCATCTACTCGATCTTCAATCATTGGCATTCAAATATGTGATCTTGTTTGAACACCATAATTCCTACAAAATTGTACACAATTTCCAAATTACATTTCAGATAAGTTGTGCTGAGAAGACTGAGTCAAGGAAAAGAGTGGAGTAAAAGACTTGTCACTCAGATATTGAAGTTTGTGAATGTATCTCAATTCATAGCATAACATGGTGTACTTTTAAGACTTGGCTGCATTTTGGTAATTGTGAACCGTTGAGACAAATCAATGTTAAAAAATCCCTAACTTTTAAATTGAGGTGCAGAATTGGCATGATGGATTTCTGCAAATGGTAATGTAAGAATCGCACGATAACAAGAACAGCTTAATTTTCAAAGTGGGGACACTTGGAAGCTTAGTTCATCAAGAGGGGCTGTTCCACAGAATCTCTGTTATTAACAATTACCATATTTACTACTGGTATATATTTGTGTATTCATTATATGCACTCTGCCTTAACTGTACACATTTAATCTCACAATTGGTATCACAACTATTCCTGACTATCACATGCCTTTAGCTTGTCTTTTATACTACTTAAAAGAGCACTAACTTAAAATTGCATTACTTTTTAGAGTCAGCTGTTTTCACTCAGTTCTTTTCTCTCCTCTTTTCTTAATCATGTTTTGAACTCAAAAAATGGTGAACAATTTTATCTGATTTAGACAGATTAATACTGTACTGACCTGAATTACAATAAAGTTTCGGATATACAAACAAACCTGTTTTAGTTTGTTTTACTCAAATCTGATTAGCTTCCTCCTTGTAAGTGTTACTACTAATGTCTACATTTGCTTAACACCTTTTTCTTTGAGTCAGCTTGTTCTTGGTTGGCTAATCAAATAAATCATCACATTTTTTTTTCACAATTGTAATAAATGTGAACCAAAATTGATATCTTTATTTGAAATCCACTCCCATAAGCGTTTGGTTTACAAAACAAAAAAATTTAATTCCTAACTAGTTACACTAGCAATAAATTTGGACCTGTGAAAGAAAACAAAACAATTCAATATAACAAGACTGCAACTACCACCATGGCAGTTTCCACCCAAAAATTTATGTAGACTTGGTATCACACAAACAACAGTTGTCAAAGTCAATATAATTTATCTCTGTCAGTGGTACTTGCAGCAAAATTACCAACATGAGAGTTCTCACTAATGAACTAACTATTAACAACAACATATATAACATCAAAATTCTTGCAAGATCAGTCCAGAGATGTACATTTTCGAGCTAATTATGAATATGCAATGTACTACTCCCCAGTACGGCAACAGACCCGATTTTTACACTGCAGATTTTGGCATCCACTGGCCGTCTCTGGGTAGGGACCCTCATCGATGTTATCACAATAGAAAAACTCTGTATGATCCAATGCCGGACAAACAAAAACCAAGTCCAAAAGTCCTTCGGCTGTCACATGTAAGCAGCCTGATAAGTCCAAATGCCTGAGCTTTGGAAGTCCTCCATACTTTGCCAATGCCCTGCATAAAAAATTTACACCAGGTACATTAGTTCAATAGAAATTACATTTTCAATAAACTTTGGCAAAAATGTAATTTGAACTGAAACACTTGGTCCAATATCAACATCTGAGTAACTCCACACCTACCCCTCCCCTAACACAACAATCAACCTGAATTGTTATTATTTCACTGTGGTTGGATAAGGGGAGAGGAGGGGTGGGGTAGGTGGGCAGTTCCTCAGATACTAACATTGATCTAAATACTTCAGTCTATCCAATAAATAAAAAAATTCTTAATAATAATAATATGTCAATGATGAATATACCATTTCATTAAAATTAATAATCAGAGAATAAAAACAATATAAAGTTGCTTCTTTGTGCAGTTGTCAGCTTGTCAATGGGGAATTCAAATGTCATAGCAAACAAATACCAAATTTTTCTTATATCAATCAGGACTGGTTCCCATTTTTTCATCTTAAGGGCTGCATATAGCAAAGCTATCCACACTTCTTACAGGACTGTCCATTACAGGTCCAACAACATGATATAAAACAATATCAGAAATGAGCCTTTGTTCCAAGGTTTACAATCCACACTAGTCTCATTAAATTTTGTATTGAAATTGAAGCTTTTATGGGGAGATGAATCCAAAAATCCAGAATTTCAAGTTGAACAACAAAGCTTTTTGAAAATACTGACATTACAACTGCTAATCATTTTTATCTATTTCTGCACTAATACAAGGTGACATATTTCCAAGCTGGTATATATGAACTGCAAGAGTCTATGACATTTTGCAAGGATTCTGCACATCCTGCACCATGTCAGAAGCTAGTCGACATTATTTTTATAAAAATAACAATTATTGTAAATACTCTTTTTATGAAATACATGCCTAACAATCAATGCTTCTGGGTACCATATTTTTGTGAAAGAAGGTGACTTAGAAATTCTGCAACAATAATTATTTCTTTCCTCGAAGACAGCACATAACTGAGTGCATCACCATTATGATGTTTGCCCTGACAAAACAGCAATGTGGTTGGATAGCTATTATGCCTATGCCCTAGCACTGAGTCAAGCATTTGGTCTTCCAGTGAAGACTGTAACTGTATGAACAGAAAATATTTATGTATTTTTAGCAGACAAAATACAATTTTTTAATTCATCAGGTGTGTCTAGTGTGTACCAGTAACTATTAGCTGTTATCACTGACCTGAGACCTGCATCAGTAATCTGGTAACAGCCTGACAATCCAAGATAGATAAGCCCTCTTTTAACAGTCTCTGGATTGATACCAGTACTTATCAATTTGCCACAAGAACAGAATGTATGGCAGTCACAACTGCTATCCTCAATGTCAGAAATTCCTGATCCAACTGGAAGTTTACCCAGTGATGAAGACAATTTAAACAAAGTTTTGTCTGTGATGTTTTTACAGCCAGATACATCAAGATGTTGCAACTGTAAGCCACCACCCTTTCGAAACAATCTGAAATTACAAAAGGTGTTAATCTAGATGCACTCAGTTGATGAATGTATCACTTTAAGAACAACAGACCCTGTCTACTTTCCCGCTCACCCAGGAAAAGATTTGATTTAAAAGTAGAACCAGCAAAGTCCGTTTCCATCCATAAAACTGCAACAAGCTCAACAAAACTAATCCATATTTGGCAGAAATGTAAGGCTGGAGTAATAATGAAATTTATCCTTTGGTATATGTCACCCATTTTAAGATCATACCATTCTTTCAAATCTTAATGTCTGTAGCAGAATTCACGTTAAGGTTTGTTAATTGTATTGTTGTTATCAACCTCTTTAACTAGTGAGTCAGTGAATGACTTGGAAAGGGTTGGGAGCTTTGGCTCTTTCAGTTGTGCCTCTAGCTGACAACAAGAAGGTCAACTAATGCTATCCTTACTTTGAATATGACATTGAACAAGATGCCATTGGCAAATAAAGGAGTAATTGTCATAGGGAGCATCTTAACATAGAGGGTGTTTATTAGACTGGGTAACTGATACAAACTTTGCAGTGTTGAGGGTGTGTTAATTGGAAAAATGCATTTATTTCAGAGGGGATATCCATTAGATTATTTAAAGTTAGTATTTGAACAGATCTGAAATATTAGGAACCTCTAAGCCAAGGGGAAAAAATCATTCAATCCAACCTAATAAATGAAAAAAGCATGACATATCTATGTGTTAAGGCCCATTCCTCACTTACCCTTTCAAACCCAAGTCTGACACTGCAGTTTGAGACAAATCAAGCTTCCTTAGATTGGGACATTGAGACAAAATCTTGAATGCCTGTACAAATTATAAAGTAACCAAGATTCCTTACAATAGAGATAATTTTATCAAAATAGGACAGAAGTGTAGTTATAATTTTTTGGTGGGATACATAGAGCGATAACGACAGTTACCCACCCTTAAAAAGTAGTCTCACAAATTTTTGGTGGGGACACAAAGAGGCAATAACTGCAGTTACCTGCCCTTAAAAAGTTAGTCTCACAAATGCTTGATACTGAATACTGCCTTTGGACAGGCCTGTTCACTTCACATTAAAAAAAAAAATTAAAGATTCCCCCAAAACTCCTACAAATTTCACCAATAAAGAATGATAGATACAATGAGTGCTTCTACTCATGTTTAAAGTGCTTGCTATTTTACAAAGTTAAGGTGTTCCCATTACTCTTTTAGAAGTGGCCTCCATTGGTGGAATAAGCAGTGAAAAGGAGCCATATCAGTCTTACATATTAAATAATAATTTATCAGAATACAAGGAAAGGACCTCACAGGGCCTTGTTTATGGTGATACTGGTAACTAGCCTTTTCCCCTTACTATAAATGGATTATAAACCTGAAATGGACTTCCAACTGATTTATTAGACCATTTGGATAAATCATTTGACAGCAACATGATAAATTTATCACTGACAGTACTCACCAGACCATTACTCAACATTGGACAACAGCCAAGCTTTAACACCCACACAGATGGACCAATCATTGGTAAAAGGTACCGCACCAGACCCAGCAGCTGATGTATTTCTGTGTGTCTCTCACAATCACTGTCTGTCTCATAACTGGATTCAGTGTCACTGGACCCTTCCTTGTCCAAGTCTGTGTCAGTAAAAGAACTTCCACACAAAACATGATTGGTACATTATACAATAAACCAAGATCAGATTACCAACAGAACATTGTATGTTACCTAAAAATTCTGGTTAACATCTTATCTAACCACAGGCAGCCCAAGCTCAATACTACAAGAGCGGACGTGACTCTTACAGTGTTGCACAACGTTTTATATTTAAAAAGGTTTGTATTTAGTTCTTACTAACCAAGCGGGAGGTCTGTATAGGAGAATCTTGACCGAGGTCACCAGTACAGATCGAAAGCAGTGAGGTCTTTACCAGCAACCAAGGTCAAGATTCTCCCATACAGACCAACCTAGCTTGGTTAATAAGATGTTTATTATAATTATGGCTGTGTCTTATATGCCAATTTTTATATTCTTTGTACCTTTTTTTTCTAGACCGGTGTAGATGCCGGTCTAGATGGGAAAACCTTGACCGCTTTCAATATTGATTTCAGCCAATCAAATTCATGAGTTCGGTAGATCCCAGTCCTTGTGAGACACAGCCATATAATAAAATGCAATACAACTGCTTTTTGGGATGTCACGCAACGATGTCACTCGTCGCTACACGACATTCTAGAAATCAGATATCAATTACTGTATTTGTAAACAGAGTATTTATACAGTCGTTTTGCAAGGAATAGGAAAACAAAATGCCGTAAAACTTGAAAAAATTTGATAGTTTTGTAACGCAGACAGACACACCGGATTGCTGATGTTAAACATTTTGCGTGGAATTTTAAAGAAATTAGTTTGAGTTTACCTCAAACGAGCTCCTTGGCCTTTAAGTATTTCATGATGTCAATATAGAGCGTGTGTACATGTCTAAGTCTCCCCCCCCCGCACCACACTTTAACAGAACGAAATCTTGTAATCAGTCAATACTCATGATGCGTTCTGCAAAAGGTAGTTAGCGCTATTTCGGTGTTCAACTGCTAAAATAAAGACAAGGCAGGAAACTCATTTTAGAAGTGTCTGTCGCCCAAAGTGAATAATTCCACCAAAAAATTACCACCGGTCTCGATTCCTCCAGAAAATCAAAGCAGGGATGTTGCAGTTCCATTTCCATTCCCTCAATTCCCAATTCCTCCCACAGATCTTTCACTAGCGATGCTTTTATCTCCAGCTCGATAGGCTTTCCAATTTCAAATTAGGCTCGTTAAAACAATCGTGGCCCCATTCGCCGATCCCATAGTATATCAGGTAACAAAAATAAGCCAGGAGAGGGTAGCCAGCAGCCTGCAGGGACCAGGAGAGCTAACTAGTTTGTTTGTTGACTGCAGGCTGCTGGCTACCCTCTCCAGGCTTATTTTTGTTACCCGATATACTATGCGATCGGCGAACGGGGCCACGATCGTTTCCACGAGCCTAATTTGAAATTGGAAAGCCTATCGAGCTGGAGATAAAAGCATCACTGGTGAAAGATCTGTGAGAGGAATTGGGAATCGAGTGAATGGAAATGGAACTGCAACATCTCTGCTTTGGATTTCTGGAGGTTTCTAGACTGGTGGTAATTTTTTGGCGGAATTATTTGCTTTGGGCGACGGACACTTCTAAATTGAGTTTCCTGCCTTGTCTTTATTTTAGCAGTTGAACACCAAAATACCACTAACTCACCGAAAACTCTTCAAAATGGCCTGAGACGCTGGTAATCAACAAAGAAAACAACAAGGCAATAAGGTAAGTCCACTTTATTTCAAAACAAGACATTTTTTCTCCCTTTTAAGGCAAACCGACAACATCCCATACAAACCTTTATAAATATAAAACGTTGTGCAACACTGTAAGAGTCATGTCCATTTTTCTAGTAGTGAGCTTGGCCTGCCTGTGATCTAACTTGAAAGTCTCAGCAAACAATTCCATAAAAGTAATTATTTCAAAAGTTTCTAAGGTCAATCTAAGAAAAGACAAGGTATATACTCATAGCTTTGAATTTAATAAAATTATAATAGACTTACCTACTTCACAACATTTCAATTTATTGACATCTATGTAATACCTAAAATAGCTACAGTACACTGGCAGTTGTCCAAAGGGTTCCAGATAATTACAATTAATACTGAGAGTAAAAACTGGCTGCTTACAAGAACTATTGTAGAAAAAATTGGGAGAATTGCCTCTTGGTAACAACATCATAATTATTAATCATTACAATTTTAGTACTCATAGTTAATAATTTTTCAGTGTGAATGAATAACAAAAGTTCATTTACTTCAAGCAATGTGCAGAATATGTATGATATCCATTCATTCTGGACAAAAAGATATATCCACATCACACCTAGTTTTAAAAAACCTTCTCATCTTCATAAATAGCCAGACATCTTGCCTATGAAAATTTTCACACTATCAAAGGTGACTTTACCTGCTTACTCCTTCTTACCTGTCATCATATCCATAACTTGGTAACTCTGAATCACAGTTACAAGAGCACATGTCTTCAGTATCCGCACCAAACCGCCAATCATTTTTAAAGATCCAGCGCACAGGATAAAGCTCTTTCCACAACTCACCATCTCGAGCAGAGTGTGACCATTGCCGACAAACCTGGGCACAATGGCATAAGTCTTTGGGGCCCAGGTGGGAGAAAATCTTCAGCATGATTTCAGGTGGAAAACTCAGAAGTAATGGCTGTTCTCTTTCAGTTACAACATCAAACTCAGCTATCAGAGTCTTTTTTATGTGATTGTTTCCAAGAGTCTTAAAATTGTCTGTGGACATGCCTGATTTTAAGCAAATACTTTCTTTTAATGAATGTTCAATGACAGTTGAGTTGGTTTCTTCTTCTGATGATTTGTCATCCCCACTGTCAGAATTTTCATAATTTTCACCACCAAACTTGTTAATTGGTGAAGAGAGAGGGGGAGGCCCTGCTTCGTGGGAACTGGAACGCTGAAAGATAAAGGAAACAATTTCTAAGATTGTCATAATTTAATGCAGACTCAAATTTTAATGAATGGTAGCCAGTATCTACCTGTTTGTTATTGACAAAATGAAAATTTCAGATCAAATTTAATTTAAAGACAAGTGGTTTGGTATATTTTGTATTGTGTAAAATGATTATCATGCAATATTCTCCCAAAAGTCAACAAGCCCACAAATTATTCAATAATGTAACATCATTATCAGAATAACCTTTAACAAAGGCTTTTATATGCATGGCCTTCCAATATTTTCACAAAATCTATAAACCTCATAACACATCATGGTTTATGGGGAAAAGCCATGGACAAAGTACCTCAGTAAAAGCAGAGTGCAAATGGTGAACCTGGGCTTTAATTTCTTTCAATTCCTCAAATGAAAAGTATTCAACAAGCAATGGCTGGAAAACCTGAAAGAAACAACAAACCTGAAATTACACATCATTTGCATATTTTGAATTTCAAAAAAATGAATAGCAATATTGAAAAGCTTCACATTATTGTGTAAAATTTCAATAATTATTCTCATTCAACATGAAAATAAAGAAGCCTACCTTACCCACAATGTTTTGTATTATTGTACTTGTGTCTAAGACAGTGACTGCCATTTGAATGGTTCAGATATTTCTCCAATCTGTTTGAGTTCTAGCTCAAAAAGTTTTGGACAGATTTCAAGAAAAATGCTACATGAAGAAACATGTGGCTTTCAAGTTAACTTATGTGTGTTTCTAGACCCATGCAATGGTAATTAGTTGAGAAAAGTCAGCTTACAATGTAAAAAGGCCGAAATGAACCTCTTCTGTATTGTCCCTCTGCTATGCACTCAAAAGAAACATCAATTGCTGAACCCTTCGATTGACTTGCATTCACCATCTCTGGCCACATGAACAACAATACACTGCATTCTTGGTTTAAGTATGTTTTCTTTATTCTGGTGTGAAATGAGAATATTCATCGCAATTACATTCAATAATTTGAAGATTTCCAACATTATACAAAATTACACAAACAGTCACATCAATTAGTCTGGACCCAACTGTGCCTTTTCCAGCAAAGGATTTCTCTTTCAAAAGTTTTTACCTCCTCTTCATGCCTCATGTGGGGAAGGAAATCTCTTTGAAATGATTCCAAAGCTCCTTTGAGTCTGTCTTCAAATGTTCTCCTATTCAAATTATTTTTGCTTTTTGATGCACTCTTAAGTCCTTTCCTTGCCAGTGACAAAATTTCCAAAACATGGTTGTCTTTGTGAACATCCCGCACAATAGCCTGAATCTGTTTGTTTATCAGACGATGCTGTAGAACTTTCAAAATGCAAGTATTTTCAATTTCCTCATGATGTTTCAGTTCTTGAAAGGTGGAGTTGATACACCCCAAAAGTCCAATGAGGGAGACATCGTCTTTAAAGTTGGTGACTGAGAGCTGAAAATCGTAAAACAGTGTTCAAAACCAATAACTTTAAGACAACAAATACAGGCAATCTTTCCTCTCGATATGGTTTAAACCAAATCAGTGATACGTCATCACAAATTTATGATCGATCAAAAAAAAGGGAAGCGAAACTTATGTTGTAGATGGAAGTTTTTCACAACTACAATGAGTACAAAGACAAATAATTTCAATTGTCCTCAGAATTTCAACTTAGATTAAGTTACTAACGAGTGCTTATATCAAAATATATATCCTAGATTAAAATTTGTATCCAAAAATAACATATTATGGAATATCATGCATCTTTTGAGGGATCCTTCCAGGACTGGAACAAGGTATAAGCTTTATGAAAGCTAACGTACGCAACCTTATGTACATGTAACACGGACACACGAATGACAGAATAGCTTACGATGGAGTAGATACCTGTGAAATAAAAAACCGAACAAGCTCATACATTTTATTTCAAACACACAGTAATACCTTCTCTAAAGCTTCATAAACAAGCTGCTTCATTCGCAGGTGAGGTCCAGTAAAGACGTCTATTTCCTCCGGCCAGGGATGTTGACACAGCGCCATGTTTACAGTCTTCACTTTACACTTTACAATTCGCATTGTTTGATGGGACATGACGTCATAATATTGCATCAAGTTTTGAAGCTTGCTGTGTCATTGGTCTGGATCAGTGACCTCATCCACAAAAGGAGATTTGTGAGTCCATCAATGGAGCTCGCCTAAGGTCAAAATTCGGGTTTTTTTCGGGATCAGTCACGAGTCGCCGTAAATGAATGCGTTGGTAAAAGGTTTTTCGCTAATGAACTTCAACAACTAACTCAAAAATTCGACTGTTTGTGTTGGTATAGATGTTCACGTGCTTTCCACGTGACTTTCACGTGCCTTTCACAAGCAAATAAAATTAACGAGCAAACGAAGTTACTGCGTAGACTTTGCCAAAACAAGCGCTAAGTTCAGGTTGAATGATCAGAACGGGACGGGAGGAAAAGAAAGTCGGTTAGCGGACTTTGAAAGCAAGAGAGCTCTCTCCACATATAAAACCCTCTCCCAAATATCAAACTAACTCTTTGATGGGAAATGATTTTTTTGCTTTTCACGTGGTTCCTCTTTTAGTTTCGACGAAATTGAACCATACCATTTATCTAATGAATAAAGGCTGATAGTTTCGAAAGAAACTGTTTGGGGCTGCGTCGGTGGGAGTAACGAAATAATTTGGAAATATCAACAAAGTTGAAATGGTAAATTGGCCACCGTAATGATTACAAAAGCTGACGTTTCGAGCGTTAGCCCTTCGTCGGAGCGAAGGGCTAATTACCATACCATTTATCGCCTCTCAGTTTCAAAAACAAACCCCATTTTTAGGACTAGTATTTCCTCTTTTAAACTGCGGTTTGCCATTACGTGGTGCCCTTGCATTGTGAATGCTGAGGAGATAGGGAAAGTGACATTGTCTACGTGAAAATCTAGTTAGACAGCAAGAACTTTTGCGCTCTTTTCGAGGGTCCTAATTTATAAGTTATCAGCCCTTTTTCATACGAACCGTCTCTCATTCTAGTATTACCCTGTGCCAAAATAGCAGGATGAGCTTTGGTGAACTAGATTTCAGAACGCCTCTTCCTTCAGAGAGCGATACATAAGGAGAGCCATCTCCCTCCCTACAATAGACAGCATTGAACAGCGGATCGAGATACTGAACTGAAATTACTTAGTGACGTCATGATGACGCTCTTCCCACGAGAGTGAGTGCCAATGGATTGACTCAGAGAGGACAAAAAGCCATGGCTCACCTACAAGTAGAAGCTTACGATTCGGACGGGTTAGCTTATGTCAGTATCTAAGCAACTGTGCATGTACCCCTCCCTAAAACCTAACAACAGTCAACAAGTTAGGGTTGATGTTGGTTTAAGGGAGGGGTAGGTGCGCAGTTGCAGAGATACTGGACCTTGCTCTATTTTCTTGACGGTGACAAACTGGCCGTGCTACAAGACTCCACTCACTGACAAATGTGTCGAGATCAAAAGAGAACACAACTAACAGGGGCGGATCAAGGATTTTTTTGAGGAGGGGGTGCGTAACTGACTGGTGACCGGACGTAAACAAATTGTAGTAGCGAATACGAAGAAGGCTTTTGCCTAGGCAATAACATAATATGAACTGCTGAGAATACATATCAAACGATACAGTAGAATACCACTTGTATAAGAAAGCCGCAGGTCATCTTAGGGGGGGTGGGTACCCCCTGCTCCCTCCCGCTAGATCCGCCCCTGACTAAACTCCTAGGAGGGGGTGTTCAAAGGTGGGTTAAGATAAACTTGGGTTAGTGTGAAATTTTATTTCAGATCTGAAAGCTTTTAAAGAAAATTCAGTTTGATTCCATTTGTCCACAATTTAAAGATTGAGTGCTCTAAAAAGAGTTGGAAAAATTATCCCAAACGGCTTTTTAACAGAGAAATAGAGAAACCTGGATAAAAATTTAACCCTGGTTATGGTTAGCGCTAATCGCCCTTTGAACAACTCGGCTAGACTTATTCCGTTTTTGAGAGCCGGAAGAAACCAAGAGAATATAAACTTTATTAAAACAGGTTATGATAAGCTTGTTTTAAGGATAGGTTATGATTAGCTTATTTTAGATGATGAAGATAAAGTCATTTACTTTCATGTGTTTAATAAGCTAAAATTTCAGATTGAGCCAGCTAAAGCAGACGCACCCTCCCCCCCCCGTTTCGCAACCCCCTCCCTCCAACTCTCCGTCTAGACGAAAGTTAGGTTCGAAATATAATTTGCATTATTCTGCTTTTCCTCGGGTTTTTTTCAAGACGAGCTATAGACGACTCTAAGCCCAAACGCAACGCGGGCAAGGTATTCGATTCATTATTACCCTTTTCCCGCCCTAGCCCTGTTCACCTGAGGAATATTTGATCGTCACGGTTGTGAGGCTGTGAACAAAGGCGCCATATTTGAAGAAGTGTGTAAACTAATGACGGCGCTTGGCTATTCAAATGATTTCGATAACGATAATCTTCCCTGTAGCAGAGCAGCAGGTTGTTTGAATAGAAAATGTCCCGAAGTGTTGTTTCCCCAGCCCAGGCACCAATCGAAGTCCAGGATGACAGCGTCGCGACCACATTAAAAGTGATCATGGATGTTTTGAAGGTGAGATAGCTTGAAAAGCGAAATTGAAATTAAACTCCTACGAGACTTTATCGCTTTAGTGGCATCACGCTAATTACCACTGTCTTTGAAAAGCTATAATAACCTCTTTCCATTTATAGTTACACAAAGAGTGGGATAAACAGCTAATTTTCGACCACAAAAGTTCACGTGTAATATGCGATGTTAGAAGACTTTATAAGATGGTTTTGTAAATTTCGCGTCACTTCGTTTGATTGATCAAACCTTCTCGAAAGCCGGAGCGTCTTGTGTACATTCCAATATCGTTTGCATTGCTCCAAAACATTTACTGATCGGATCCATCGAAGACGGGTGATCAAATTATTATCGATCACTTTTGCAGTAGCTGCATACATGTGTAACTTTCTTCTCAAATTTGTCGGACGCAATTGTGAAAAAAAATAAATTACACATTTCGGTACGTAGAATAAGAAATATCAAGGTTAACTTAAAGGCAGAGGGTTGAATTATATTCAGGTAACCGTTGTTTTGCGCGTCTATGTTTACAGAGAGACAGCTTTCTAGTTCGTGAGTGCAAAAAATCGAATTCAATATCAGTTACCACAATAAAAATATATGTTGTAATTTATTTTAATTTGAAAAATGACCATGATCTCGTTGTTTTGTCAACAGAAATGTTATTGTTATCAATGTTTCGAGTTGCTTAAGTCTGCTGAGGGAATAATGAAAAAGCCAAAATTAAAAATTGAGACAGCTTGTTGACATTACTCTGAATCAGCTGCTGTAAAGAGGGAAACTTCAACATTTATGCAATGCAAATTTTCAATGATCAATTCACTATTTTTTTTTTCCTGACCAAGGAGATGCCTGCAAAATTTCATAAAATTAAGTGTTGAGCTGTTAGAATTGCATGAACAGTGGTTCCATTGAATTTTCTCTTCACTGTCATGTTGGAAATTTGTAACATGGAGTTACATTTACTTTAAATTTGTCTCTAGTGTGGGGGTCTGGGGGGTCAGGAAGCTAGCTGTAAAGGAGAACTTTTTAATTCTCATGTGATTTCAACCTAGTCTTGTAAAAGAGAAGGGATGGTTCAGAGGATTAGCACTAATCTTTAATTGCATTGGTTAAGGATCAGTTCAAAACTAGCTTCAGATTTACTTTTTGTCATCACTTTGGCATTTACTCTGGATTTTGCAGTTTTCCTCCTTTGAAAAAATATAGACTCTGTATGTTTTCATCAGACCTGAAACAGAAATTCAACTTATACTTTAGAACAATTAAATGCCATCCCATTTAGTACAGCCAATAACTTTGACAAATAGAGTCAGAAAGGCAGGTTCCTTGAAGGACATGGGTGTGACAAGAGACACAGACTGTAAAGAGAAGGGAGGATTGAAGAGTGTTATTATTGCAGGATCACAATTTTTTCCCCTTGGATTAAGATAATCCTCCGCCAACTGAAAATCAATTATAATAGAAAAAATTCTCACTCACGAAACATTTATAATGTCTAAATGAGTGGAACCGTAATCTCTGTTTATACTAGTTAAGAACAAAAATTGAGGAGTACAGTCGGACCTCGATTATCCAGACTTGTTGAGACTGGATGAAATAGTCCAGATAATTAAGAGTCCGGGTAATCATGGATATGAATAATAATGAGGAACAAGAACTGATTGAATTAAGAAAGCGACCTTTCATATTGAAACAAGACATCTTCAAATCATTTTGAAAAAAGTCTGGTCTACATCTTCACTGTCCATTGTGAATAGCTCTACTGTACAAGCCAATAGAGCATGAAGTCTCACTTAGCAACAAAGCAACTCTAAACCAATCATGTTCTTCTCTAGCTACAACGTATGCGAGCGCTGCTTTTACTTTTTGAAAGCGAAACAAACTGGTCTTTACTTCACTTTTTTTAATGTTGTAGTTTCAAAAGAATATAGCCATTGATCTTGATCAAGATTAATAGATATTCATAACAAATTTGGGACCAGACAAAATGTCCAGATAATCTAGAAATCCAGATAATTGAGATCTGGATAATCAAAGTTTGACTGCTCCTTCAGTGATTGTCTGTTTGGTCCATTACATTTTCATTCAAGTCGGGTATTTCATTACTGGTTAAACCAGTCAGGTATTTCATTACTGGTTAAACCAGAAACTTTTACCAAATAGGAGGTGCCTGTAGAGGAAGAAGAATCGAGAAACAGCTTTGATAAAAGGGTAGTGAGGAGAGAGGGGATACATTTTGGAACATATTGGCAGTTGTGTTAACAGTTTTGGTAGCATTTCTTGGTCTGCATAGGCTTTGCACATATATAGCTGTATATATTTTGTTGTCTTTCATGGGTAAGTCAACTGATTCTAAAACTTCACATGCATAACAAATCCATGTATCCACCTTCTAACTCCTAGAGGTGATTCACATGTTGCTTCTTGTCATAAATGCATAATCAAGCATAAGGGTTTGAAACAATGCTCATATCTGCATGTACTCAAGCATCCAAAATGTTAAAATCGAGGCACAGTCTTTATAGGATTTTTCAGACTTATTTTACATAAGAATTTCACCTGCATCTGAAACTAAGCAGTATAAGTTGTTTCTTTTGCTGTCTAGTCCCATGAAGGTTCTATAAAAGAATTACGAAATTTCTTGACTTCCCATGGAAAGAATGCAGCAGTTGTACCACCACTTTTAAATGTAAGTACCCGACAGTGGAAAGTTGAAGACACTGTGATCTAGTGGCTAGTTTACTGTCTTTGAGACAGAAAGGAGCAGGCTCAGCTCCTCAGATGATCCAAGGTGTTATGTTGTTTTCTTGGGCAAGATGTCCTACTCTCACAGTGCCTCCTCTGTCCAAGATCTTAAATGGGAACTGTCAATAAAACCTGACCAGATACTGGGAGGGTAACATGTAGTGGACTGGTAACTGGTATCTTATTGGGGGGGGGGAACAGCATTGTCAGTCGAAAGTGTTACCAGGATCACATCTAGATTAAGAAAATGGAAAGAAAAATTGAACTTGTATGATTTAAAGACACCTACTGAAAATTTGCTGTTTAAAGTTTAATAATTTTCACTCTCTCAATTGCTTCTCCTCAAAATGAAAGATATCAACAAAATCTCAATTTTTTTCCATTAGTTTGTCAGTGACTGGGGGTGTTACTCACATTCCTATTGCAATCTCTTGTATAAAAAGGAAGAAAATAATTGTGAGAGTAAATATTTAGAATCCTTGCAGTAAAGGGTTTTTCTAATTTGAATTCTTAATTGTTTTGACTCGCCAACTCTAGATATATGACATGAATGAAGAGGAGGAGCCAGTGAAAGATTTACATACAGATGACATACCAGATAACCAATCAGAAGCCTCATCAATTATGTCAAGCCGAACTGAGTATCATGAGCTGCCAACAAGATCCACTTTAATTAACAGTACTGGAGTATCTAGTGCTGGTAATGGACTGCTGACACTTTCTGATCTGAGTCATCAAAGAACCGCAGGTAAGTGTTTGGAATGATAAAGGCTTGTGGTGACTGACAATTTTCAATAAGTGTTAAACTCTTCTTAATTTTAACATGATTTGGATCATGCATTTTACAAATAACTTTCCTCAATACAATTTAATTAGTGTATTATAGCAAAACATTAGAACAAGTAAGAATTGGTTGATAGTCAAATTATTAAAATTATAGTTGACTACCAGTCAGTTGATGGTAGACTAACATTCAATCAATGATTTGTCAATGTTTCCATGTCCAATAAGTAAACTGACATGGTTGGAAAAGATAGCTATTGAGTGTCAGTTAACCATCAACAGAGATGTTGGTTACCTATCTGTCAACTACTGGTTAACTGTCAGTCGACTGAAGCTGCTTGTGGTATACATGTTCCAGTGATTCTCTAACCAAATCGAAAGTTTTCTTTTTAATCAGTACTTGTGGTAAATGTAACTATTAACTGTTATTTACTAAAACTCGTTACATTAATTTTACTAAATTAAGTCTGTTTGGAGCATTGATAAACATCGAATACATAGTTACATCAAAGTTATGCATGGTTAAAACGATTGACTGATGCCGATGCATGCATGTTTGGTGTCAGAATGTGGGGTCAGTCGTTGAGTATGATTGAATATTTTTTCACAATGGGTCTGAAGCCTTTTGTTTATAGTATCACTTACAACCAATCCTATAGCTTTGGAAGAAATAGAGTGCTCTTTCTATTGATTTAGAAACACAAATATCTACAGATACTTGCTGATGCTAGAATGTAAAATTTTAACTTTAGTTCCCTTCCACTTACGATTTAAAAATGTTTCTTGTCTTCTGTAAATGTCTTTAGCATGTTAACCCCTGCACCACTATGACATTTTTGGTGTCAGTTTTGATTGTATTTTAAAGTAACATGTTGGACCTTAAATTTGACCCACAGCCACCAGTCCAAGTGGTCTCACAAGTACCCCAGCAAAGCCCTACTCCTTTCCACAACATAGGCCTCCTGCAACAACCTCCTTCTTTGAACAGACACCAAAACTGGACCTTTCAGTTTCTACTGTGCATGGAGATGAACACCAAGGTTAGTGTGTCAAGTACATGTACCTTCTGACAACTGAGAAATGGTACAATTGCTTTGAAATGATGACCGCTCATTAAAACTGATTCTGCATGTACAGCAAGTAAATATGAATATGAGCATAAGACTGAGAGCTCAAAAGGAAGTGGATGTTTGTTTGTTGAAGTTATAGAGGGGGTGGTTCTCTTTATCGAGGTGTGTTCCTTACTTCTCACAAAGAACATTTGGATAATATATTCCCACGAGTTCCGGAGACAAAGTATTAAAACTCCTCTTAAGTTGCTGAAACACTCTCAGCTGGACTCCAGAGAGTTAAAGGAAAAAAGGTTTTCCCAAGAAAACTGGGAAGGACCACCGAGGCAGAACTCTGAGTTCTAAACCTTAATTGTTTGCAAACATTACAGCTTGCAGAGGATGGACAGGAATGAACAATGATGGCAATTGCAAATCATGATCATGGAAAAAAGAGAATTATAGGAAAACCAAGTTTTCCCTCTTTTCCCAATCCCCTTGAGCATCCCTCTTTAGACAACATCTTGGTGGGTTACTTAACCTCACTTTGACCCTTTAACTCCCAGAAGTGATTAACATGTAACTTCACCATTAAAATATCCCTACATTATCCAGCAAACAGGTAAGGGAAATACATATAATTATGTTATTCACCAGCCGGGAGGTCCGTATTGGGAAAAACTGTGCCCGAGGTCTTGGATACCGCCCAAGGCCGTTGGCCGAGGGCGGTCCTCAAGACAGAGGGCACAGTTTTCCCAATACGGACTGACCAATGCTGGTGAATAACATTTTTATTTTTTTCTAACACATATCAAAATGATTGCCAAAAGAACCTGAATGATTTATGGCTACAAGTACGAGTTTAATTACGGGAAAATCCTCCATAACCTTAACAATTTGTTAGCAAGTGGATGATGAAGAATACAGACGTTATTCAAATTAAAGAGANCACTCAGAGATCTTACGGAAAGTATTGTTTATTTCCAACGACGATTAATCTTCGAAGATTTACCTCTGTTCCGTTTTAAAATGTCACGGAAAGTCAAATTGTAAGTGAATGCAAATGTGTGTTTTGAGTTGTTAGTCTGCTTGTTCGTTTTCTGCAATGGTGTGTGTAAATCTGTCTTTCTTCGACTAAAAAGCGGAAGTCATTGAGATTCTTTCCAGCTAGACACAAGGGGATTTAGTGCGACTTTTATTCATCAAATTCCTCCGGTTTCTGATGAGAAATTTACGGTAGAAATGTCTAAGTTCAAGGGATTAGCAAGAATAGGTGAAAGTGTATTTATGGAAGAACTCAAAACTTCGCTCGACGTTTCACAAACGAACAAATTGTGTTGAAGAATTCAGATTTTAACCAATGAGAGTCACATTGATTAACGTAATTGTTGGCTGCAACCACCTCGCGTTGTAACTTTCTGAGTTATTTTTTGTGAAGGATTATTAAATAAAAAATTGTTTTAGGCCGCGTTTCAATCGTTTTAAAAACAAATTTAGTACCACCAAATTTATTTCGAAATCAATTTTTGCAGAAAAACCGTGGTGATTTGAGAGCGAGAGAGAAGAAAGAATGTATATTATTTATCGCCAAAGGTCGTGACCGAAGTCTTTGCTCAAAAATTCTGCCCGGCCTGCAAAATAAGACAAATTTGTGAAAACCTGCAACGAAGTTTGAGATGCTCTGCATAGTGACTCGAGCGAAACGGATACCGCCCGCTGTGAGCGAACCAGATGGGGAGAATACTGCCCGCTCTCGGAACCAATCAGATTGCAAGATTTGTAGAATACCGCCCGCTCACGAACTGAGAAAAAAATAAACAAACTTATCAGGTAGAAGTTGATGTGAAACTAAATTCTTCTTACTAATTTACAAGAAAATGTTTAGCGGCTAGCGGGGAGAATTAAAAATCATATCTTGGGAGTTAAAGGGTTAAGCCAAATTGCATCCAAGATCGATAATAAATGTTGTTTGCAATATGGAAATGTAAGATGGTTTCCACTCATTGATGTGCAACATGATTTTGGAAATAATTTTTGCCCCAAGTAGCACTTGCTCTGAAGAAGTAATGGTTGTAGACTGAGGAAGTTTTCTACCAATTTTTCCCCTCAAGTATTGTGATCAACTAAAAAATCATTTCCTGATAATGTCAGCGAATTAAATGATACTCTGGTCATTAAGGAATGATGAGGTCATAAGAGACAAAAGGGTCGCATTACTTTGGGAGATGTGGCAGTATTTCAGGGGTTAACAAAACAGTGAATTTTTTCCTTTATCGCAGGTAAAATCAGTTTAACTTCCAGTCAGCCATATGGTCTACATATGCCACCTGTGAAGTTACACAAGGGCTCTGAACTGCCCAAATACAGTCCATCACCGAGTTCCAGTCATTCCGGTAAAGGAAACTTGAAAGCGTTGTGCGTAGTTGTTACAGTAAAGATACTTTTAAATGATTGAATAATTTAAAGGAGCCAGGTCACTTTGGTGCATCTTGCAAACCTTCATTCCAAACCATCTTTGTTCTGTCTTGTTCAGTATTGCCTCTTGTTTGGTAATATTTTTTCACCGGACTGATGAGTTAAGGTCTTGTGCGAGTGGAACGTTTTGCAGAGCACAACAAATGACCCTAAATATCATGGCCTTTTTATGTTTTTGTTTTACCAGCGATGTACCACTTCTTGATATCCTAGCTGTATTTTCAGTTTGGCCTTAAATCAATTCAACTGCTTCAACAGGTCTATAAAACACCAAAAAAAGCATCAGATAAAAAAGATAGCCCTACGAAAAATGTTCTGTTCTTTATTCGTGCTTTGGACGAAAGGCTTTTTTCAAGGACGGGGGCATGGAGATTTCCAGTTTTGCGGTTTTTGTGCCACAATATTTCGGTTTTCAGGTTTTGGTGTTCATTACGGTTTGCGGATTCTCCTCTTTTAGCATTTGGTTTTCGGTTTTCGTCAATTTGAGATTTAGTATGCGATGTGGTTTTCGATTTTTCTTATTTGGGTCCTGGTTTATCTTTCACTAGGTCCAGTTTTTCGAAGGCCGATTAGCGCTATCCCTGGGTTATCTTAACCCAGCTTTGAACAACCTGGCCCAGGGCTCAGTTGTTCAAAGCTCTCGAATAGCCGCAAAACCTCTGTTCCACTTGTCACCTCTCTATCGGATCGGTTAGGATTTTGATGTTTGGGGTATGAAAATTTAATGGTTTTGCTGCGGTTTTCGGTTTCGATTGAATATTTTGCTGTTTTGCGGTTTTGGATGATTTTTTCTAGTTTTGTTGTTTCTAATGCCCCCCTTTTAAAGTGATATTCCTTGAAAACCAAAACAAATGCACATCGGACTTACAAGTGCCTTTTGTCAGTCCAAGAGATGGTAACTTGTGATGATTTTGTCTTCTGTTTTTTCAGTTGTTGCGTTGAGCACAAAGATTCAGTTGCTGGAGAATCAAGGTTAGTGTAACAGTTCTGAAGTTTTGAGTGCAACCTAAACCCAACGATCTACGTTGTGATAAGATGGAGGGAATTTATTAGCCTAGGAAAGGCTCTCTGCTAATGGGGATGAGCCAAGAGCAAGCAGGGTTCTTTCTCTCTGTCGCCTGGGAATATGGAAACGCTGCTTTGGAGAGGTGTTCAGTAGAGTGTCATAAGCATATTCTGGATGCTTTGATTTTGCTTTTCGTTGCATCGTATAGATGCACTGATTTTGCTTTACATTGGTTTCACTCTTTGTTATGCTCTGTGATTGGTTGAGAAAACTCGTGCCATCCTCTCAGCCAATCAAATGCAAGATTCATTTAAAGGGGGTAACTTCCTAAAGAAACTGTGGGTGGTGCTGCGTTAGTGGAGGAATAAAACATGGTAAGTTTGGTTTTATCAACTGAGTTAATAAAACCAAAAGTGCGAGATCTCTATAGTTTGCTTCGATTGAGTTTCGTAAAACCAAAATCAAGGCAA